GGTGCGCACCTGGAGTGAGTGGCGTACTCAAAAAGTTTTCCTTTAGTGGAAAAAACGATGAGAGCAACATCAGCATCGCACAACACAGAGATCTCATGAGCTTTCTTGAGCAAACCTGTTCTTCTCTTGGAGAATGTTACCTGTCTGCTAATCTTGTTCTCGATCCGCTTCAACTGCACCCTTCCTCTCCCCATCTAGCTTGCTTTTACAGGGTTTCTTTCTACAGAAAACCCTAAAAAGAATCAGCTTCTAAAGTGAAAAAACAATAAAAAATGCGAAGCAGATCTAAGAAGAAGAAGAAGACGACGACGAAGACACAGGAGAATGTTTTTCTGTAGCTTCCTTTCTATTTTGGTGTATGTATTATTTTATTAGACAGTCTTTCATACCATAAAAAAATCTGTTTCCATACCATATATATTTTATCTTATAAACAGCATAAAATTATTATTACATACTTTGTGAGATCATTTTAACTTACCCCGAATAACTTTGAAAGATTTTGAGTTCTAACTTCAAACTTTAACTGCCTCATCATCTGACAATAGTTTAGTTCTTATAAATATGGTAAAGGTAAAGGCTGATTAATGGCCTTACATTAGACTATATGTGTATTCTACGCTTCTATCTTTTTTTAACGTTTAAGAAAAATGTACGTACGTACTAAAAAAACTAAATGCATGATTTGTTATATAAACCTAGAAATTAATGTTCATACTGTTTTTATATAAGATTCAAGAAACCATATTTGTAGGATAAAAAAAATGTGGAATTTGAATTTGATAGAGATGATTAAACCAATTAACACCTGGATTTTATAACTATTTGATTGGATATTTAAAATGTAGGAATACAATTTTTATAAGATATATATCAATGGAGGGGGAACTGAAGGAAGGAATAAAAAAAGGAGAGGATGGTGAAAGGGAATAGCCGAATAGTTGCATAAGAAATGGTTTAGGACAGATTTGGTGTCAAGTTCTCATTGGTGGACTTCTTATCTCCCCTGTCTTGTTTTTGGGGTACATGTGTTGGCTGGGGTCAATTTGAATCATGTAAATCCAAATCCAAATGAGCGAGAGTATGGCAGTAAGTTAATAATTAAAGTATGTGTTCTACATAAAAGAAATTGAGAAATTAAGTACTCTAATTATTTTTTGGTGGTTTTTAAAAAAATATAAACAATTTTTTTTAATAACCATTTTCTCCGTAATAGGTTATTTAGGAGCCCACTTCATACTATATGGATCGAGCCCGGTTCATTCAACATGTTCTAGAATGTCTATTTCAGCCCATTCCAATTTGTTTAGAAGGAAGAAGTATAAAACTTTTATTCCGAAATACTACACATTTCGGAGATTTACACATTTCAGAGTAAAGAATCAAAAGAAGATAGGGCACATGATTTCGATGATTTGGTAGTCTTATAGGTAAGTTGTTCATTCCTACACTTTTAGTTGTTTAATTATAAGATTAGTAGTGTAAAATAATTACTCCGGAACACTAAGAACACGTCCAAAATACGAAGAACATGTGGACAATGTTGTATATGTTCAATTTTTAGCTAATTTAGTATTAGGATCAACCTAAAACTAGTTTAGTTATTATGTTAAACTATTATACATCGAAATTTGGTATTTTGAAACACACAAAAGACATCCCAAGCATGTCCGGAATGCAAAGGACTGCTCTGGAACACTGAGAACATGTTCAGAATGTGCATAATAGTTCTGAAAAGTTCATTGAATTTGGTTTTGGAACACCATTTAAACTTCTTAATTACCTTAAAATTATTTTTTTCGTTTTATCTATAGCATGACAAGATTTTTGATGCATCAATTACACTATCTTACAAACCTGAAATTTGTACGAATATTCTTGTGAGATTTAAGGATAGACCGTCACGCGAGACTATGTTCCGAAAGACTTATTTTGGTAGGTGGTTAGATATTCATGTGGGGGTAGAGGGGGATCATTTACTTATACATTACGTGTTACACAGAAATTGTGATAGACCCTCGAAGCGAAGTAGAGAAAATGATTTTTGAGATAGAGGGGTATGAGTTGACTTTTGGGAAGAAAGAATTTTGTCTTGTCACCTGCTTCCAGTTTGATGAATATTTTTGGTGCCTCTAATTCCGGTCTTACTTTCCGATCTCGTGTATTTCTTATGGTTAAGAAGAATAACACCATGAAATTTAAAGATGTCATTGATATGTTTGAAGCATCGCTTAATGACATATCGGACGAGGATGTGGTTTGTGTATGTCTTATATATCTATTAGAGAAGGGTTTTAATGGGCACTTGCATTGTCAACATGTGGTATCCAACCTTGATGAATTCAAAAATCATGTCATCAATTTATAATTATCATTACTAATGTTCTTTTACAAAATTAATTGTGCATTTTTATGTCGCTAATATCCATGTGGGAGGATAATTTGGGATCAATTGTACTCTCAAATATGCAATGTATTCGATAAGGTTGACAAACATATACATCTAGTGCTAACAAAAATACACAGCCTCAAAAAATGACATACACCCTAAGAGGATTTTTATACGTTTTTAAGGTAAAATACATGATTATCACTTTAACTTTTTCTTTTTGCTAATATTCTAATACATGATTCTTTTAGATATGAATTCTTGAAAGTTTTCCTGTGAGCAGTTTGTTTGGTACCCGATAACCGAATGTGATTCCTTAGGCTTTTAAATGGTCGAAAATGAAGAAGTTACAAGCGGATCAATGCAATAAGTTTTTAATCGTTGACTACGTATGTTTATTTATATAACTTATAATTTTCACCTATATGTATAATTTATGATTATTTATAATTTTACAATTTTGTTAGCAACATAATAAACTTATAGAGAAGTTGGAGTCGACAACAGATGAGAGTCGTGCTGATTGGTGGTATTTTAGCTCTGTGTGGATAGAACACTCTGTTTTAGCTACTAGACACCTTTTCTAACACCATCACCCCGCAAATCGCCTACCTATGATTCTCTACAAAAGGCACGACCAGATAATGTCAAAGGTTCCTATGCATCTAGCCTACTACCACCGCCACCACCACCCACTATACTATCAAATGATATGGACCAAGTATTGAGTTGTAAAAGGAGGTTCGTGAATGTCGCGAATAGTTTGTGGTACATGAGATGCGTGTTGTACAACTTGAAACTACGATATCCATGCTTCTATAACGTATTAATAAGGGTGTCAGAGACGATGGTGGTACCTCACAAGGGGTGGAGGTACATTTTTAATTATTTTACTCGTGTACATTTTTATTTAACTTTATGGTATACCCTTAATTGCATCAGTTATAATTAAATGACTTTGGTACTGCACAAGAAAATGACTTATGAGACCATGTATATAGGTTAGGTACGCCTCTACATCCGTCGAATGAAGGACCTGAGTAGATGTATGCATATAATGACTCGTCAGATATAAAAGTGATTCCCCGGGAAGAATACAAAATGCTAGCTCTACCTCTTAGGCGTTCTTATCGAGAAAAATATGTATCTGCATGGATAAAGTCCCCATGGATACAAATGAAAAGGAAAGACATTGCATGTAAATTCCCTACACTGTTGGACAATTGTATAGACCATAGCATATATAGTCTATATGAACAACGGGATGCTTCGCTAGATTTTCACTATCCTTTTCTCTCTTATATACCGACAATGGAGTTTTGGACGTACTTATATTGGGATTATAACTTTGGGCTGGTTGAAATGCAATTTAAGTTATATATGTGTGTGATCATTACACACTAAACATTACTTAGGTTACTTTAATGTGTACATGTGTTGATTGACAACATATCATGCTCTGGATTTTGTTGATGATAAATAAAAGACCGAATGATGCTCGGTGGACATTTGTATCGATAACTTTCAACACATATGTAGAGGACCTGCGTAACATGCCTGATGGATCAATTTACCCAACTTGGTCTAAGTGTGATACATTATACTTGTGTTTCATGGTCATTACCTGAGTAATAGTCACTTATAAATATTATCTAATGATCATTACTTAATTCCAACCTTTTATACAACTTACATCCCTATCAATATACCGCAGACCCACTTGTTTTTGGGAGTTTTGGATTTCAAGACATTTACAATGACTATATATGATAGTCATGAAAGATTTTGTATGAGTAAGAGTCAATATAAAATGATATTATTAATAACGTCGAATTTATCACTATAATTAGACTATTTTTGAATAAAAACTCAACAATTGGTATCAGAGCCATTTTTGCAAGATTAATTAGATTATTTGTTAAGTTAATGAAATCTTTGTTTTTGGAAAACATGGATGATTTTCTCTTTGCAAGAAAAAATTATAATTGTTATTTTTGGTGACAAAAGTTTACATGCTTTTTTTGTCACAAAAGTTGTTTTAGAAAAACAAAGAATTGTTTTATATAATTTTAAGTATATATGATGTGCATAAATTAGCTATGGACCATTGTGTTGTCTTAATAAGACGCTTATTTTTCATTCAGATACGAAAATAAGTGATAATCAAATGCTCTGAATCAGACACATTCAAAAATTATAACTTCCTCTTATTAAGAGGCATTAAGATGCTACCAAACAACCCTAAGTAAAAGAAGTTAGAACAAAAAAACATAGGAAACATTTTAACAAAATCAAACTTCCGTTATCTATGTTATAAGTTTATACATAAATAAGAAACCTAGATGCTAAATAAGGGGGTTGGTTATCAAAATAAATATTATTTTAGATTAATGAATCTTGATCATATAGCATAAACTTTTAAGTATTGATTTTAAAAATATGGTTTTTAAAATAAAAGTTAAATAATAATATCTTTTTATATACATTTTACCTTCTGGAAATGAAACCTAAGGTTTTTTTTTCCAAATTAAGTAATTAGAATTATGCTATTTTGCTATACGGTATAATGCATGCTTAAAGGCTAGAGCCTAGAGGGGTTTAGAAATAAAAAACTCCACACTTTCAACCAATATTGGAGGCCATCTTTTGTCTCTGTTCTTGCATAGAATCATATGCTCCATTAAGAGCAAGATTTCCAACTTGTGAACAAGATACTCCTTCAGAGAATCTATGTTAATTCTTAAATCCAAAGTAAGTTTAGATCGTGTTTCATAGTGTACTATCACAAGATCAATGTAACTTTAAATAGGAGAATGTTGGATAATTGTATTTTATTAAATAGGTAAAAATATCCATCCATACAACATAATATTAAAAAACTATGTAAAATTAAGCTATAAAATATAGTACCATACTTTCCCAACGTTTGCCTTCATTTCAAAGTCACACGTTTATTTTCTACAATCTTCTTTTCACCACAAATCCACAATTTTTATCTATTAAATAGTTTCTCTTGCCAAAGGGCTTCTAGCCCAGCGGTATCAGGTGGTGTCCTTCCTTCTTGAGGTCGAAGGTTCAAGTCTCGTTGTGGATATAAGTGGATTTAGGTGTTATTTAGGAGTATATTATATATTATATTTGCCGGTTCAAAAAAAATAGTTTCTCTTTCCTCCCCTCACATTTTATTAACTTCCCTATTATAATAAATGAATAGTTTTAATCTCCTTTTGCAAAATTTCACTCTAATAC